GAGGTGTCATTTACAGGTCTACAATTAAGTTGAATTTTAACTGACCACTAGCACTGGGTTTAAAACTGCTGTTGCAGGAAGGCCAAAATGCTTCAGGATTTCTCCATTCTCAAATCTGGTTACTAGGTCAACAGAGCCTTCCTGGAAGCTGTGTTCCAAGGTTGTAAGTTAGAATGGAATGAGCCAGGAAGAACCCCTATAATTGTATGCCTCATTACTTCTTGTTCGTTTTTTTAATATAATTTTTATTTTTACCACAGCAAATTTGATTATAATGTTTTGTTTGTTCTAGGTGTGCAAGATGTGTTTGTTTTACACCTATACATATATGTATTCATCTTGGGATCCATTTGCCGTGTAGGTTATGACACAGTATTGAGTAGTCTTCTTTTGTAATTATGTAGGTCTTTGGTGATTATAAATTTCACATGTGTTTGTATATCTCCGTTAACCTCGATATCCTAATGTATCCAGTCTTCACACCTTTCAATTGGTTAACCATAAGTTTGTTTAATAAATCTGTGATTCCTGTTATCTGTGGAAATATCTACATTGGTATCAATTTTTAGGTAACACCTATAATTGATATCATAGGATACGTGTCTTTCACTTTCTGACTTACTTCCAGTTGTGAGACTACCTCCAGAGTCATTTATGGTTCTGCAAACTGCATTGTTTAATTTTTTTTCCGTGCCTAATATTCCATCTGTACACGTACCTGTTCTTCTTTGTCCATTCGTCTCTTGATGGACTTTTTGGTTGTTTCCATGTCGTGGCTATTGTAATACTGCTGCAGTGCAGTTTTGCCTGCCTGTGTCTTTCCATGTCTGTCTTCCTAGGTTACAGGCCAAGGAGTGGACCTGTAGGATCATATGGTATCTCAATGTTTACCTTTTAAAGGCAGCTCCATTCTGTTTTCATTAGCGGCACTTACCAGTTTACGAGCCACTTAAAGTTGAGGGTATGCATTTCTTCACAACCTCTTCAGCATTTGTTGTTTGTATTTTTTTGCTGATGGTCATTCTGACCGGTGTGAGCTGATACCTTTTTGTGGCTGGATTTGCATATGTCTAATAATTCCTTATATTAAGCTTATAGCCATGTAAATTTTTTGTTTTGTTTTTTAAAGAATGAGTACATCTTACCTGTTCAAATGGTTTCTTGAAGTATGTACCATGTTGAATTTTTTTGGCCATTACCTCCCTCAACACATTTTGTTGTCCCGTGTCATTTATAGCCCTGCAGTCGTTATGAATACGAAGTGTCCTTTAGCACAGGTTTTAAGGCTGCTGTTGTGGCAATCGGCCACAGGGCGGCAGCATTTCTACATTCCCCGCTCTGGTTACTAAGGAAACAGTTTCTTCCTGGAAGTAGTGTTCCTTGGTTGTAAATTAGAGTGGAATGTGCCCGGATAAAGCCCCAAAGCTTATGTCTCCTAACTTATGTTTGTTATTTACATTTAATTTATATTTTTTATCGGAGTAATATTCCATTGTGTACATGGACCACTTCTTTGTGCTTTCATGTGTTGATGGACATTTTGGTTGTTCCAAGCCTTGGCTATGGTAAATAGTGCTGCAGTGTAGGATTGTCAGCCTGTGTCAGTAAAGATGTTAAATAACTAAATAAGACATTGCCAGAAAAAAACAAATCTGAGAAACAGTTTTTTCCCAGCTGAGTTGCCCTTTGGGAAATACTGAAGAGAATTCTGCAGGCTGAAATGAATTTAATTCAGACACTACCAACTAGCCATATAGAACAGGAAAGGGAAGCTTTATTTTATGTTAGTTTATGTCTTTATGTAGTAGTTATAACTGTAATTTGTCTACTTTTTTGAAGTAGAGTTGATTTATAATGTTGCATTAGTTTCTAGTATACAGCAAAGTGATTCAGTTATACATATATATATATATTTTTTCATATTCTTTTCCATTATAGTTTATTACAAGATATTGAATATAGTTTCCTGTGGTACACAGTATGACCTTGTTGTTTATCTATTTTATATGTAGTAGTTTGTATCTACTAATCTCAAACTCCTTATTTATCCCTCATCCCACCACTATTTTTTTTAACTTGAATATAACTAACTGATAACTTCATTCTGTCTTTGATTTGGATCATTAGACCTTCATTGTTATTTAATGACAGTATTATGGGACAAGAGGAAATGACTGCCAAGGGTATATCTCTAAATCAGCATTTGCTAATGAATGAATGAAAATAAAACACTGTCTTTTATTTTCTATCTTCTTTAATATCCTGGAGTATCACCTTTTATACTATAAGAGAGTGGTTATTTTTTCAGGCAGGTGGCATGAATATGTCAGTCCATTCTGGAGTAGGTAACAGAGAAAGAAGGGTGGGAACTATAGTGAAATGAAGAGTGAGGTCCCACCTAAAGCTATCCCCATGCCATTTGTCAAACAAAACATGCCTTCTGGGTGGAATTTGACTAAAAAGCAGGTTAATGTGCTCCTCGTATTCAATTCCTAGCCCTTTCATTAAATTACTCCTAATTGTTATAGTGGCCAAGACCTTGGAATTTACTACACTTCTGAGGCATTATTTTCACTTTAGTTCTAAGATTATTTTCTGCCTCATGTTGTTAATATATTATGGTATAGCTCCTCTAGTTTTTATTCTCACATTTTCTTCCTTATTTCTGTTCCTAACTTTTTTCTTCCTGTCTTTCCTACTTTCCTGCTGTATCCTTCATTCTCGCTCTTGGAATCAATGCAGTCAAGTCATGGTTGTCTAGAATGCAAGGTAGAGTTGGTTCTCTTTCAGTGTCACACTTCAGTGAAATGTCTAGAGTTCTCTTGTTTGCCTTTTAAGTACGTTCACCTGCAGTTCAACTTCGGCTATAATTTTTATTTTTCTACATGTTGGTATCAATTGAATTAGGCTAATAGCAGACTATTCTGACCACAGCATTACTAAATATGTGTAGCAGGTGTGTGCATTGGAGCCCAGAAAAGTAGAAAAGAGTAAAAACATAGAACGGTATGAATAAGGAACTATCACTTTGAGATTAGATATAACTAAAGTTTTCATTTATAATTTGTCTGCTAAAATTCATTTAGCTTCTCATGCAAAAATCATCAGATTCTTCTGAGTCTTCTATGACAACCAAACAAAAAAATCTAGTCATTTTTCAAAAGGAATTAACTGATCTTCTGGATGACCAGTACTAGGTGTGTATCTCATGTTAAAGATGATAGCTGTCTGGTCTTTTACCCTCACTTAGACCTGCTATTGAAACATTTTCATGCCTTCTGTACCACAGAATTATTGTTGTGTAATATAGGATGCCATAATCTGCCTGCTAGGGTGTTAGCAACAGCATAAGAGCAACCTCCTTGGTTTGTCTGTTTTCTGCTAGAGCATGTTGCATCATTACATTGTCAGCTAAGGATATTTCTTAACACATAGCCAAAAGCATATTTTTGCCCGTCTCATTGCATTATAAATTAAATGTGTTATTTAGTTGGGGAGGTGAATCTTGTACCACCTGTAGCAACAGGGTGATGGGAATTTTAGTCCCACCCAGAATATTAGTGGTACAGGATTTTTGTCTGTGACATTAAAATTCAGCATCTTTACTAAACCTGACAAGCTGTGGCCCAAAAGAGGCAGTGAATATTAAATATCTCAAAGAATAGTATTACTAGTGAGTATTTCCCACTAGTGAGTATTAAATATCTCAAAGAATAGTATTACTACAACCTTTCTGGTGCCCAGAAACTTTCTGTTTCTTTGCAACCACATAATTATGGCAACCAGTAAAATTTGATGCTGAGAAAGGTTGCTTGTTATGACTGGCTCTCTCATCTCCAGATCTCTCAGACTGATACGCGAAATGAGTTTTGTTTCAAAGAGTTAGTGTCGTTTTAGAACAGACGTTATCAGTCACTTTATTCAGAAGCTTCCTCTCTTTTATCCAGAGAAACCAGGGGAAAATTGTCAGAATGACAATGATTGTCTATATTTAACTTAGAAGAGAACATGTTTTCTGTAAATGTAAATAATGGTCAGAATAATCTGGGATGTATTAGATTACAATTTAGAAGATCTAGAGTCACTTTTTCATCATATCTTTTGTCTTGAAATCACTTTCATCATCTCTTTGAGAATTGTCAATGTGAAAAGGAATTATACTGATGAGGTACTGACATTGTAAGTTAGGCTGAGGAGGCCAATGAGCGAAGTCCTTAAGAATTTGGATTTGAATTTCAGCCCTGCCACTTAGAAGTTGTTGAAGTTTCTCTAAAACTATTTCCTCTTCCACCTAGGAATCATAATAGCCCCCCTCCCAGGGTTTTTTGTGAAACACAGGGAGAATGCACCAAAAATGATAAGCATAATGTCTGGCACGTAGTAAGCTCTCAATAAATGGCAGTTGCTATTATTGCTAGAAACATGTATAATAAACTCCATGTAGCCAATGATCAGTTATCCCTGCAAAAACGAAATGCAGAATGCTTGGGCTACTGAATTACACCAAATTATTTAACAACACTATATAGAAAATCAAACAACTTTTCTTCAATAATAAGTGTAATACGTCCTTCATTCTTAAATTTTTTAAAAAAAATGTCCTGTTGGCTAAAAGAATTTCACTGGTCCAGTTTTCTTGTCTCCTTTCATTTCCTCTTGCCATCCTTTAATCAAGATACTCATAAGCTCTGACAGTCCAATGTCAGCCGAGATGAGGTGAAAGAAAGACAAGGAAATAGCCTGAAGAGTCCATGAACTCAAAACTTGTCCCTGGATAATTAAGAAATGGAAATGAGCATATCTGAAGGATTTCGTTGTGGTTTTCTCTCGTTACACTGTTGGACAGAGTACAGATTTTTTCCCACTAGTGAGATTTTGCCATGGCTGAAGCTGATTTTTGCTATCATGATACCTGGAAACCTAATTCCTGGCTGGACTTTTTCTAAACACCCTTGTTAGCATCTCAAACTATTTCCTCTGGAAAGAATGTAAAGCAGATTCAGGTGTTGTATGTATTTACAATTTGAAGGCCCAAACATTTTATTTCAATAGATTTTAAAGGAAAAAGAGAATTACAAACATGTTTTAAAGATCCATCCAAAAACCATTTATTTAGCGGAGACTGCTCCAGACTCTGTGCTGGGGTTGGCATTGAGAACACAGCCATAGTGTCAGACCTCAGGGAGCACAGAGGACAATCAAGTGACAGCCCATAAATGCACTATTGCACACAGAGAAACAGAGCTTATAAAATGGGGTATGCTCTGTGCTTCTTTCTAAATTAAAGGTAACATATTCAGAGGAGTAATTTTGAAAAAACTACATACACACACACACACACACACACACACACACACACACATACATATATGAAGACCTTCAGTACTTTAGATAATTCTATGAAAGTTAAGAACAAACAAGCCATTATATTCCATTCTTCTTTCTCAATTTTTTTTACAGAGAAACTCAGAGAAATATTTTTATTCTGCTGGTTTAGGAGAGGGTAATTGAATTTTAAGTACCTTTTTCTGCCAGCCTTAAAATCATATCTACCTATGAGAAAATGATTGTCCAATAATAAAAAAGAGAAAGAATGATAAAAGAAATTAGTCAAAACTTTAAGGAAATAAAGGTTTAGATTTTTTTTTTTTAAGTTTTTGGCCGCACCCCCACGGCATGTGGGATGTTAGTTCCCCGACCAGGGACCGAACCCGCACCTCCTGCATTGGAAGGCAAAGTCTTAACCACTGGACCACTGGGGAAGTCCCTAGATTTTTGTTTGATAAGCACCATGTTCCATCTTGATTAACTGACTTTTTATTTTCCCTTATAAAAAACTTCTCTGATTATTACATATGGCTTAATTGTCCTAAAATAATGTCATTATTGCAATCTTCCCATGAGGGATTGTAGTGTGTTTATCAGACACGGTAGGAAAGGAAAAGGAACTCCACTTATTTCTCAGCCTGGATTTCAGCTCACATTCAAGAATCCCTCTGCTTACCTGGCCACCTTCAACTTGTAAATCCACAGATTTTGATATGGCGATGAGCACTGTGGAGTTTTCAATTGTGTAAAGTGGGAACACAGCCCATTGACATCATGCCCAAGATGGTCAGTACATGGTAGCTATCAAACAAGGGTTCTTGAAGGAAGAGCTTTGTGTGGCCATCTCTGCGTGTCAGGAAATTCAAGTGTACATTGCAAAGTGATTGCAAGTGATCCTTTACATTGCAAAGGATCTCATTGGCATTTACGCAGGTCAACCAGGGCTGGTAGAGGCAGGATCAGGAGAAAGGTGTGTTTACCCTCGTTAACCCTAAAGGCAAAGGACTCAGACCTTGAGTCTTGAGAGAAGTAGAGATTCAAACTTATTAGTAAGATTAAGATAACCTAGTAAAGTGAACATCTAGATTTTTCCCAACTAATTGGGGTTATATGTGAGTGTATCTGAGGAAAAGTAAATTTTTATAATAATTATCCTTAGTTGTTCCACAGCACTCTCTTAGTCTTAGGATATACCATTCAATATTTCCCTAGGCAACTCTAAAGCTGTCCTCATTTTTGATATGTGTATATATACACACACTATAAATAAGTTATGTTATATATATAAAACATATTTAATTTGAAGTGTACAGTTTTTGACCGTAAAATAAAGAAGACAAACTAGACACGTCAGCTAATGAAACCTGCAATTAAGAAATTTTATGATGGGCCTAATCAAGTGAGTTCATATAGCCCATGTTTCAGAGCAAGAAATTAGTTTCCCTGTGTTTGAAACCTGGTCCTATGAATTAATAACTATACAACCTTGCCAACATGCCTGAATTCCTCTGAGCTTCAGTTCTTATCAGCTATAAAATCGGATAATAAATAATACTGGACTCATAGAGTTGCTTTGAGGGTTAAATAATGTAAAACATGAAAAGCACTTAGAACTCTACCTGTGAAAAAGCATTTCGTGAATGTTAGCTGTTATTATTTCAATGTGCTTACTTTATAAAGTGCTTCTCATGACATAATGGTATGTCAGTACAATTAAGAGTTTTGCAGTTGTACGTTTTGATAGAGCATAATTCCTGGTGCAGAGTTGGCATTCAATAATTTTGCTACATATGGGTGAAAAATGACTAAAGTATGCATGTGAAATATAACAATTATTAATATTTATAAATTAAGAAAATATGTTGACTAATACATCTTTTTGAAGACATTTCAATAGTTCAGGCTATTTTAATATATACTGACATATATAGAATTTTAGTAAAAATACGTGAGTTTGCATTTGACATTAATTTCCATCTTCAATCTTATTTTAAAATTTTGTGCATTCAATTTTTTAGAATTTGAAAAAAATAACAGTTTTACCACTGTTCACTGTATTATGAATCTTATCCCTAATATGTTTTTCCCATGATCTTACCACTTGGATAATTAAGTTCAAAACAGATAGAAACGTTAAAGCTCATACTACACAATGTGTTTTTTTCTTAGTATACCTACTACAGGAATAGCCATGAATTCTACAGTAGCAACCAAAGTTGGCTATTAACTTAAAAGTGGTCATATTCATTCTTCTTATGTCATTAATTTAAAGAATCAAAATCATAAAGTATAAAGGGACATAATTTGCTAAAATAGTTTTGAATTTTGTTATAAAATATTTTAAACTTACTGAAAATTATAGAAAATACTGTCACAAATACTTGTGTTCTTGCTATCCAATTTTACCAAATCGTAACATTTTGCTATATTGGCTTCAGATTTTTTTTTAAATATATATATATTACAGGTACCCCTGAAGTCCTCTGAAACCATTCCCCTGTCGTCCTGAGATAACCACAAAATAGAGTTTAACGTCTATAATTCCCAAGCTGTCTTATGATATTAATGTTTGTCATACATATATACAAGTAGACATAAATAATTTACAGTATTATTTCATGTAATTTTAACTTTATATCATGATAACTTACTATGGGTTTTCTTCTGCAAATTATTTGCTCAAGATTTTTTTTAAGATTTATCTATCTTGATAAATGAAGGTGTATTTCGTTTAATTTAACTGCTGCTTAAATTTCATTGAATAAATATATCATAATGTATTTATTTATTATATTATTAACACACTATTAGAAAAAATGTTGCAATGAATGTTCTTTAACAAATTCCTTTTGTACATGTGGGAGAATTTCTCTAAAGTAGAGGTGGAATTAAGTCAAAGTGGAATTTTCTGGGTACTTGAGTGCATAAACTTCACTAGACATAGACAAATTTACCTAAAAAGTATATGTACAAATGTATACTTTCTGTCCACAGTCTATGAAAGTTCCTGTGTCTTTGAATCATTGCCTATACATTTCCCCAGAATTATTTGCACTTTGTGCCGAATGACAAAATTGTCAAATCCTACTCTCTTATTTTGTACATTCAGATAGGTTCGTTGCAAATGAGAATAGTGCTGCTTCATTTCTTAAATTGGATTCAGTTCACAGTGGCTGAAATGTGAGGTCTTAGGAGACATGAGCTCAGTGGTTCTCAGTGGTTCTCAGTGGTTCTCAATCTTGAAAATACTTTAGATTTACCTAGATCATCTTTAAAATTCTGATGCTCAAGCCTCACCCCAGACCTGTTAAGTAAGACTCTCCTTGGGGGTGAAGGGCAGGGGGATGTGGGTGCCGTGCTAGTTGCCCCACCTACAACCCTTGGAACTCAGATCCCAGAGTGATCCTAATATGCAGTCAATGTTGGAAATTATTGCCCTTGTGTATGTCTGATAAGAAAGAGAATAAAGCCAGAGGGAGAAAAAAAGATACTTGGCAGTAGACCCAACTCTAAAAGTGAGTGGTGAACTGGAGCTTGATTCTTAATAGTTTTATCTAGAATGAATAAGTAAATTAGCATCTGGGGAACAATAGTAGGTATTCCAGAATTTGGCAATGCTTGAGACCAGGAATATAACAAGAGTTAGTCTGCCGACAGTTGAGAATAGAACTACAGGTCCAGGGTCAGGATGCAGTACCTTTAGGGTAAGGCAGTTTATGAAGTCCAGGCACGTGAATGGAACCCAAACAAGTAGATTTTTTATCTAGGCAGAAAATTTGGAAAAAGCCAGTGAGTGTTAGAGAAAAGCTTTGCCTATGTGGGCACCATTGGCTCATAGCAAATGGCAGTAATTCCAACCCTATTAGCTGGTTGATGCCAGTTATAAATGTTTGGTCAGACTTAATTAGAATAAGTTTTGAAAATAAGTTATGCTTAAACGTGTAAGGTATAAGCTTCTAACTGGTGATCAGAGGGCATGGAAGAGTCAAGGATAAACTGAAATGCCCCAAGTTATAATGAATGAGGAAAAGTTTTGATTTGGTTCATCATTTGTAACATAAGCTATTGACATAAACCAACAATTTGTATTTAATTAAGATTATTTCATAACTAGATTAAGTATTCTACTTTACCAAGAGTGTCAAAATCTACTATAAATATAAGGTAACACGGGCTTCCCTGGTGGTGCAGTGGTTGAGAGTCCGCCTGCCGATGCAGGGGACGCGGGTTTGTGCCCCGGTCCGGGAGGATCCCACATGCCGCGAAGCGGCTGGGCCAGTGAGCCATGGCCGCTGAGCCTGCGCGTCCGGAGCCTGTGCTCCGCAACGGGAGAGGCCGCAACAGTGAAAGGCCTGCGTACCGCAAAAAAAAAAATAAATAAATAAGGTAACAAACGTTCATGGAATCTCAGCTATAGCAACAGCCATTTTTCATCCTTTCCTCAGTCAGTACAGTTATTTCAGTTTTCTATAGAAAAAAATGAATTGAAAGACCATTTGGCTTTGCTGACATGATCAATTGCAAAACTATTGGAAAGTTAAATATCAAATTATTTATAGGACATGAAGATATTGACGTTAATGTATAGTTCATGTAATTATCTCACACATTCAGGAGAGATTAAGATTTCTAAAATTGTATTCTAGTTAGAACACCTAAAAGCTTTTCTTTTAAAAAAAAATACCTTAGGGAAAGTAAAACTAAAGGCATCCAAGATATTTTTAAATTGTCATTGTGCATTCAACTTAAAATACCGTTTAAGACATGAGTATGATGAGACGATTACAAGGTGATTCAAAACAAAATACCTTTAAAAGTCTGCATGCCCTTCAGGTTGACTATGAAGTCATCGGTCAAGGTAAATAATCAGGGTAATTCTTTCTTTTTTTCCACTTCAGTGCTGAGTACAAGAGAAGGACTAAATATGTTCAGAAAAGTCTTAATCCTGAGTGGAATCAAACAGTAATTTATAAAAATATCTCCATGGAACAGGTATGCAATGATTATTTTCTATATGACAGATTCAGGCTAATATAAAAATAGTGATGACAGAGTTATTGAAAGATTGTGATTCATATCAATTTTTCCATACAAACAAAAAAAAAATATAGCCAGTAAAAGGAACTGGGTGCAGTTCGAAGATACAGTGAAAGAAAATGTGCACATTTTGACAAAACAGCTAAAAAATAAACAAAATGAATAAGACTAGTGGGACATTTTCCACTGATTATTTCAAAATTAAATATTTCAATAGACTGGTCTCTATTTATCATATTTTGAGGGAAAATATTTTCCAACTAGCTGTATTTTGACTTTCATAAACAAAGAAAAAATAAGATTCAGATGCACTGAAATGAATTACTCCTCCTGGCAACAATTTAGGGATCATCTCTTTTCTAAATTGAGGCTTCCTACGGATCTAGCATTGTGCAACTAAACTGTACGGAAGAAAGCATGAAGAAGACTAGTGTAAAGGATTATCATAACAAATAGATGACTCTAAGCAAAATTGCATCAATGTGTTTCTGAAAATCTTCATGTCATAACTTTGTATCAATAATAGAAAATAACTGATGGTTTATAAAGATGAATTCAGAGAGAAAAGAATACAAATAGAATAGGAAGAAGACATCCATGAAAACAATTTACAAATGAGTTGTCTTTCAAAATGAGGTTTCTAATTTATCCTTTGGGAGATTTCTAATTTGACTATGAAATTGAAGCTGGATATAAATTATAATCTGGGTTCTTGAATTTAAAATAAGTTAAATTTCACCTGCAGAAATAAGACAGTGCTACTAATGTGTTTTGGCAATTTACTGAAACAAAAAACTATAATCCAAATACTTTGAATAACCTAGAAATTTTTGCAACCTATGAATTTCATGTATTTAAAGAGTATATGTAGATTCTGCTTGGTACTTTTAATAACGGGCAGGGGTAGAATAACAGGAAATAAGTAAAAATCACCCTTTTTTTTTGCAAAATAGTGAGGTATCTTATGATCAAATACTTGGTTGGACCACAAAATGATTGACAGTTTACATAATATTGAATGTAAGTATACAGTTTTATATAAACTTAAAGTATTTTTACATAAGCAGAAAGAGTTCAAGGAATGAAAATATAAATGAGTCTATTATATGAGTATAATGAAAATTTATGATGAGAAATGAGGTTAATGACATTTTGATTTGAACTGTAGCTCAAGAAGAAAACACTGGAGGTGACAGTCTGGGATTATGATAGATTTTCTTCCAATGATTTTCTTGGTGAGGTGAGCCTATGGTTTCCTTTTTTTATTTGCTTCATTATAAACCATCAATTAAATCTTTATGGAAAGCATATTTCTTAAGTGTATAAGATAACTGTTTCTGGATAAAATTCTTTGGTGGATAGAATTTATTTACGAATGACTCTTTGAATAGATGAATAGCAACTGGAGAAATAATTTTCACTTTACCACTTGATGTACTTTATAATTAATTTGCAAGATGAAATATTAATTGTTTTGATTGAAAGTTATATAATCGTGCTGTGAATCCAAATGATTATGTGAAAGATTTGAGATAAATTTATTGTAATATAAAATGAGCTGGATTTTTTTCAAATGCATTTTCAGGTTATTTAATTGCTATTCCTCATTGCACATATGAATGACTTGATATGACATTTTACATTCTTATTTCTTTTAAGTGTCCCACAAAAAAATCTCAAAATATTTTAAGAAGCAAAACTAGAAGTAGGAGAAAACAGTAAAAACAATTTTTATAAATTCACAAGGAGTGTAACCTAATTATGAAATGTGTGGCAGGATGGTCAGATTCTGTGATATTTTTCATCTATCATATTCCAAAAATACATATTTTGTTTAGTGATCTTTGCTTAAAGCAGAAGTTATGAATTAATGTTAAAAAAATAAATCTCCAAAAATATATAACACCTAGAAAATACAATATCCTTTTGATAGAGACAATAGAAAACAGTTGAGTAGTCTAGGTGACATGAGGTCTTGTTTGGTTCCTACACTCTGTACCTCTTTCCCATCAAAACTAGATCATTTGAACTTCACCTGCAGGCTCCATGCGGTATAGCCACTTGGACTAATCTTGGTCTTAGGCAGGACTACTCTAGAGTATGGTTATATCTGATTTATTGTCCTATTTCAAAAAGCTGATTTATTGAAGTCCTTATAATTTATTGTTCTCATGAACCTAAAGCATATATCCATTTTGTGGTTTGATTTTTTAATATCTGCTCAAATTTAAGATGCCAACTACTGTAAAATGCACCATTGTTTATGTACCACTAAGAAAGAAAACATGTTGCCAATTAAACCATGACACAGCGCTTTCTTATTGTAAACTGTTGGTAATATCTCTGTTTCAAATGTGAACTAAAGTATGTTTTAAAATAGAGGGAATAAGTTAGTAATTGAAAATTAGCCATTCTTTTTCATTTTTTCCCTCTTGTAACTAAAATCAAACAATCTAAAAAAAACACTAGCCCAGTTTAAGAATATAACATGTCCATTTAACAAAAGAAGACTTTATTTCATAAAGAGATTGACTTGTGACTCTACCTTTTTGCATCATCTCCAAATAATTTAATTAATAGTCAGATGTCATACAGTTCGATTTAACCAAACGTTTATACAGCGTCTGATATGCACAAGACATTCTCAGTATCATGGGTGAAGAAAAATGAGGAAGACCTCATCATCCTAAAGGTTATACTATATCCTTTGACTTATGTCCTTGAATAAATTTCAGATCACAGAAAAAAACAACAAATGAATTACAGCTTAATCCATACATTTTATTCACTTACTGCACTTTTTTTGAGGTATTGATTGATTTATCTAGCAAATCTCACCTCGATAACATGCCTAGGTGATATCCTCTCAAAGAACAAACTGAAAGCATTGATCATGGCAAGTCCCATTCCAGTCAAAGCAGCCAGCAGTCCCCAAAGCTGTCTGTCATCAAAAGTAGAAGCCATGGTATCTTCCCTGACCTATCCAAGGGTAGGAGATATTTCAAGTAGAAAAAAAACTTTTGTCTGTTTGTTCACTCAGTATCTTCTTGAATATGAGTGCCTGTATATTTAATATCTTTTGAAAAGTATTATATTGGGAAATATTTAATATAATATCATGCAAAGGTAATGGATATGGAATCAGGAGAAATGGGCTTTAGTCTCAGATCAGCTCATAATTAGGTTGATGCCTTTGTGATCTTCACCTCTCTGGTTCTCTGTTTTTCAACCTATAAAATGGAGGAGGTTGGGTTATATGAGCTATTGGGTCTTTTTCAGCTCTCAAAATCTAGGTTAATATGATTTTATAAAATACATTGGGGTATTTCATAAAGAAAACATAAAAATCCTCAACAGTTCATTGACTAGACATAATCATCATTACCATTTATGCATGTTTCTTCTGTTTAAATCCCTATTTTTTCATATGCATATTCTTACTCATAAATCATATATGTAATATATGGACAAAACAGGTTTGCATTCTGCTTTTTAATTATATAAAAAACATTTTCCTCATGTCATCAAAACAATTGGTATGCTGAAAATTACTTAAACCTTTCCTAAATGGTGCATTCAAACTAATTCTATGATTTTTTTTTAACTACTATTATTATTTTTAAGTTGCAGCATCGTACATTGGGTTTGGCAATATGCACAGCTTTCCCATTGGAATGAGCTTTTCCTTTGGGAGGTTCAATAACCAGTTATCCTACAACACAACAGTAATCTTCATCATAAAATGAGTTACTGCCTCTGTGAGGGAACCATGTAGTATGTTTCCAGGATATGCTGAGCTATTTATAAATATTAAATAAAAATTTTTATATTGGATCTGAGTATTCCTTCCTTTTTGCCAATTCTCAGGAAGTACAGCAAATTGAAAAGTGGTTCTTTACAATTTGGATTGGAAATGCAAGTGTTCTAGGAGATGAAAAACTGAGGTCACGTCCAGGAGGCCACTGAGTTGATACAATAAACCACTGACTACAATAAGTGCTATAGATTACTTATGAGTTGTATAGATCATTTCTGGATTCCACTTAGCCAGATCAACTCTGCACTAATTAACATTCTGGAAGATGATTGGTATAAAGACCTCTCTCTCTATGACTACCACAGTAAATGTGTGATCTTATATATACATTCTCTAAAATCACCTGAGATGATGATATAATAGTCTCCACTTCCATGTATCCCAGTGACTCACACACCTTCCTCCAGGAATTTTAGTTAAAACTCCTCCTGCGGCAGTGTCAGCCTATTGTTTCTTACCTGGTCCCTACTAGAATTAGCAGAGTTGCTTGGTGAAACTATAAGTTAATATATTCATTTATATGAGACTACTTAGAATGTATTCATTCCTCTTCTCAAAGCTCTCTTCTCAAGATTATCATCCTCTTGCCTTTTCTCCCAAAAATTGTCTCCCAAATGTTGAATCACACAGCTGTATGGTGAGCAGCTGAATAAACGCGCCAAAAAAGAAACAGAATTAACATAAATCTTAGGCGGTTTCAAATTATGTGAGACCCAGCTTGACAGGAGGAACGCTGGAGCAACTTTAACTCATGTTTTACCCTTTTGTAACCAGACATGCAGGTTCCCACCATTGAGAAATCCCATAGTAGTCCCGGTAGCTCGAAATCCTCATCCAAAGGCCATCTCCGCTCTCATGGACCATCTCGCGGTCAAAGCCAAACCAGCGTCACTCAGACCCACCTGGAAGATGCAGGGGCTGCTATAGCCGCTGCCAAAGCCGCCGTGCAACAACTCCGCCTTCAACCAAGTAAAAGACGCAAATAAATTCCTCAGCATGGCAGCTTAATGTTCATCTGTTGCCTTTCTTTCCTGCTGTCCTTCCCCATTTGCTTTGTTTTGTGCTTTCCCTGCTCCCTCTGTTCTCTGTCCCTTCGTGTAGGAACAGTATCGATACATAAATATGCTGTCTCTCATTTAGTTCTTTTTTGTTTTAATTTACATAGAACAAAATAAAACTGGCTGTTTCTCCTTTGTCTCCACCATCCATCCAACCTGGCTCATAGTATTTGGTAGCTGTGTCTGTGATGTGTGCAGGCAAAACTATGTTGTGTGTCCTTTTTGTGTGCACTTAAATATCCTTTAGAATACAGGAATTATAAGCACAAGTGGCTGCCAGTTTTCTGGGCATTACACCAAAAAAAGGCACACACATAAGCATTTTGAGCAGATTAGCAATGAGAGTCTCACCTCTGAAAAACACTAAAAAATTTTAGGCAGAAGAGTCATGTAACCAACAGTCAAGTTCTAGAACCTAGGGGAAATGGAAAAAACATTTTATGCTTAAATTTTTTAATAAATTATGCATGTGAAATAATGAAGCTTTCCGTGTGAGAAACTTTCTAGTCTTTTGGAAAAAAAATCTAAAGAAAATAATGTTTCTTATATTCTCAAAGAAGTATGTAGTATTAATATATGTCTAAGTATATTCAATGAGGCCATGTTACCTCATTAAGGAGCACAGTGGGGTCCATTCTGTTGGATCACACTTTGTATAAGATACAAGAGAATTTATAGGGTTATTCTTTTTTCTAACCATTGGAAATCCTTTGGAAGTCAAGATATCAATTAAAGCATAACAATTCACCCATCTTAACTGCTGTAATTTCAATTGATAGAATTATATAAGAACTTAGTGAGTACAGAGACTTTAAAAATGTAGGGTCACTGTTACTTCCAAGAGGCATCAGGCAAACAACGGAGATAGATGAATGTTCTCCCCATCTCTCAAAGTCATCATTTCCAAAGAAACAGCCAGTTTTAACCCCCTTTAATGCTGTGCATGTGGTGTCATTTTGGCATTTGAAAACACAACTTACTTCAATAGAGCAAAAGATCACTTCTGTTTGCATGAATAACATTCAAGCTGGTTCTATCTGAGGATACATACTCTGGGTTTCCATTTCACCCACACTACCACAGCAGCACATAAAAGCGGTCAGTCTAATCATGACGGAAAGCAGCACAGACACAGCATAGCAGGAGTCCTCCGCATTCAAAGAACTTAGTCTGATAATCTGCCTCCACCAGCTAATGGCAACCAAGACCAAACCAGCTAGCCCTCAGGAAGGTGATGTCTGATGGACCAGTCAAGCCAGGAGGTGAGCAGAAATGCACTATTCAAAACACACAGCAAGAACATCCCCCAAATTTAAAGCCCTCATCTTTTAATTTTTAAAGATTGTCTAATAAAGTATGTTTATCCACTTTTTAATGTGCTTTTGTGGGCATGGCATTTCAGGACTTCATCATCACTGTGTAAGTCCCAAGATCAGTCCCATAATGTATTGACTACAGTGATTTGTATTTTTCTATGCACTGGGCATCTTTTGACTTTTGTTGGGAAATAGATTAACAGTATTCATACTGCAGAATGGAACGCGTGCTTCTAACCTAATCTGTTCAAGCATGACTATAAATATATTGCACTGTGATAAAAGTTTAAACTGCTCACAATTCGAGTTAGCATACCAGTTGGAATGTAGATCAGTTTTTGTTGAATATTATTTCAAGTGTAACTTTAAAAAAAAATTCAATGGATTTTGGAAATTCTTAGAGAAAGTAAAGGAAAAAAATGTTAATGCACTCATTCACCTTTACATGGTGAAAGTGCTTTCTTGATCCTATGAACACACTTTTTCCACTCATGTTTCCGTAGTTGTCAAGTGTATCAGATGTGTTGGGCATGTGAATATCCAAGTGCCTGTGTAATAAAGTATATTTATTTCATTCATAAACCACTGGGTTCTGAGACATTGTTATATGATGCAGCTTAAAATGAGTGTGTCAGTTTTTGCTTTCTCATTTGATTCCTTGCAATAGAGAATTTAAGGTTACTGCTTCGTTGCTAGTGCGAGCTATAATGATAGAATATTGAGTTGCAGGACAAAGTTTCATGTCGGAAACATAAGATGTATGGGGAATTATTACCAAATAAATGTACCAGAGCTTACATAAACATGTCAATAAATAATGGGGCTGGGCTACTCTAGGCAATGCTTCCACTCTTCCTTTCTTGCACATCTGATCTACTTCACAATCTTCTCAGCTTTCTGGATAGAGGAAGACAAATCCAATGAGTCTTGCTCTGGACAGGCACCTAGACTTGATTCCGTGGCTTTTTTAGGAAGGAAATCTAGTTAATATCTGTCCCTATCTTGACACCAACAATTTGTGGAATTTTCCCCCAAGAAAGAATGCCACTCACTGCCAGTGACAGGGATCAAACCAGGGTGATTATAAACTTATCTTCATTGTAATTCAAATTTAAATTTAATTTTGATTCAAAAACATATATCAAAGAAAGGATTAAAAAAAACGATAGCAGTGTTTGCCCCCTTAAGTCCCTTCCAGCCCTAAAACACTTGATTCTATGATCCTGTACTTTCCACAAAACTAAAATTAAGACTTGTACTTTCCTATTGCATTTCTCTATATTCTCAGAAATTTCTTAAATTTAATATGCTTTTGTCCCAACTAATCAGATATTTAGGAGCAATTGAGGATGTATGTGGCAGTACAAAGGGCAAACCACTGTGATGTTCCTTGAATTAGCAGGCAATTAAGGAAACAGCTTAAATATTAAGATAATTGTGAATATGCATTTACTGAGCCCAGTTTATAGACTATCACCAAAGCAGTTTCCCTTTTCTAGTTAGCCTTACTAGTACTGTCCAAGAGTACTTAAAATTCCACCTCTCACCTTTTTTTCCATCAAATAAGTTCAGTTGATTTCTTACTTCATTTTCTTACTGCAAATATTTCGTAATTGTGAATGTTACAGTAGTCAAATGCTTATCTCATTTCACTCTATTTTTAGTGATCATGATTTAAGTATTCCTATGATACTTTGTCTGAGTTTTCCTAGGTGTGGGTCTTAAAA